CGCCCTGGCATGCCTCAGGCATCTCTTCCTACAAACCCTCTCTGACCTCCTTGGCACAACATGTGTGATCAGAGGGACATTCACAGGGCCACGTGCCAGGTGGCACCTGGGTGAATCAAGAGTCAAGTGTGGTGGTGGCTTAGAGGACAAGAGGACCCACTTGGGCATTAAATCAAAGGGTGAGTAGCGTAGAATAAGTGATTTTGAAAGACCACATTCAGGCAGTTTGCATTAAGTGTACTGTATCATTGTTGTAGTTCATCATTGGTTACTGGTAATGTATTTTATTTTATATTTTCCCCACTATGAAGTGCGAGGTGGCCCTGACCTCATTTATGTAGTCCAGGCTGGCCTCAAACTGAAGGTGATCCTCCACCTGCCTCAGCCTCCTGAGTGCTAGGATTACAGGCATGCACCACCATGACCTGTGGTAATCTCTTGCTGTACTTAATTTAATTTTTATTTTCTTAGTCTGTAATGATGTACATAACACCTCTTAATTCTTCTTACATCACCCTTTCCATCCATGCCTAATTTGTAAATTGAATTTTGTCATAAGTATGCACATATGGGGCTGGAGATTTAGCTAAGCGGCATAAGCGCCTGCCTTGCAAGAGGCAGTCGTGAGTTTGATCCCTGGTACCAATAAAAACGAAAAAGACAAAAAAAAAAAGTATACACATATAAGAAGGCAGGATCTAAAAATTTGAGGGCTGAGGATTTACCTCAGTGGCATAAGCACCTTCCTTGCAAGTATGTGGTTGTGAGTTTGATCCCTGGTATCTGGTACCAGAAAAAATAATAATAAATAAAGGTTTGGTATGAGCATCTGCTGGGGGTGGGATGTAAACAGCTAGAGTGGGAAGTGTCCTGGTCAGCACTGTGGTGGTTTTGAGTGAGCCCTTCTTTTCCCAAGACTTGGTTTATTGGCAACATACTACCTCAATTTTGGGTGGCTAAAAGGCCATGATGCCGAAGTGCCTCATTTAAAGGCCAGAGTCTCTGTGGTATGGGGAGGGTTTGACCAGGACAGCCCTGCATAGCATCACAACCATGCCAAGAGGCCAAGGCAGAAAGATCACAAGTTTCAATCTAGCCTGGATAACTTAGCAACTTATTGAGGCCTTGTCTCAAAATACAAAAATAAAGGGAAAAAATGTTTTGAAGACTTGTCTACGTAAATGGATGCAACTTGAGACCATACTCATTAGTGAAATAAATAAGACACACGTGTAAACATTGATCATCTTATTAGTGAGCTGAAAGAAACAACATATGTATATGTGTGTGTCTATAAAAAGTTTTAAAAATGTTTGCAGTGGGTCATGAACTCTGTAAACCATGCAAATGCAGCCCAAATATCAGTACCAGCTGGCATCTGCAGCATTTCTAAACTCAATTATTAAGCTTACTGGTTTGTTTCTTGATGATAACACTATTTGGAAAAGAAGGTAAAGATTTGTGTTGTGCTTTTTTAGAAAGTAGAGACTTGATTTATGTTTTTTGTTGTCATTGTTGTTGGGTTTTTTGTTTGTTTGTTTGCTTGCTTGTTTGTTTTGAGACAGTCTTGATATGAAGTTTAGACTGGTCGTTAACTCACTCAGTAGCCCAGACCGGTCTCAAATTTTGGCAATCTTCCTCTCTCAGCCTCCTGAATGCTGAGAATACAGGCATGCGACACCATACTCACCTGATTTAGAAGTATCTAACTGAATGGGCCCTTTAGTGCCTTTTCGTTGGTCCTTTGGTGTTGAGAAAACAATTCAGTCTTTTTGTTTTTTAGATAGGATAGTTCAGACTGGTCTTGAACTCACTGTGCAGCTCAGGCTGGCCTCAAACTCACAGTGATCCTCCTGCCTTAGTGTCTTCAGTGCTGGGATTACAGGTGTGTGCTACCATGGCTGGCAAAACTTGGTTTTTGTATGGAGTTTGAACCCAGTGCACGACCACAACCAGAAGACTTTTAATACATAACTCCAAAAGGATGGGCAGAAGGGCTCCTTTCTCCCAGGATTCCTTCTCCAGGTCCAGCCAACTCCTTCTAGGAAGACTCCTGCTGTTTTTATTTCCTAACAAGTACTCCATTATCCACCCCTCCCCACCTCAGTATCTTGGTAATCTGAGATGGGGCCCAGGAGCTGCAGAACTGAGCTTGTCTTGTATCGTGCTGTGCAGAGCCTGTGAGAAAGGGAGACTGCAGAGAGAGGTGGGGCGCTGAGCCCCAAGGGTCTGTCACTCCTTCAAAGCTATTAGATGACTGTGCGCACAGCGCTGGGTGACCTGCTGCTCACTTTCCTTCCCAGCCTGTCTGGCTTCACTTGTGTGAAGCCCATAGCATGGGTTTTTGGTTCCAAAATTCTTCTGTGATTCATTATGATAGGAATCAGAACACCGCATGAACCATGTCCTCTCAAGGTGTGATAGAACAGGTCACACCTGTTGCTTGTCCTCCAAAGCTTTTGTCCTGCAAAGGCTTTAGGGTCAGGCTCCAGGACCTGCTGGCTGCAGCCCCCACCCAACGCCCGGTCAGATGTGCAGGTGGAGTCTGAGGCAGGGCAGCATGGTCATTGTGTCAAGTTGGGGATTTTGGAACGTGTGGCCAGAGAAGCCAAAGAAAGGTCCTACTATCTCCCAAAGCCATAAACAGGCCCAGTGGGATCCAAAAGGATCCATTTTTGTTTTTTAGCTCCAGCCTTTTCCGATCCAAATCACAAAGTTCTTTTTTTTTTTTTTTTTTTTTTGTTTGGTGCTGGGCATAGAATCCAGGGCATCATGCAAGCCAGACAGGCACTCTACTGCTATGCTCCATCCCTTCCCCTCCCAGGGCCCTCTGCCCTTCTAAGACATGGTCTCAGTACATTGTCCAGTCTGATTGGCTTTGAACTCCCACTCCTCCTGCCTCAGCCTCTCAAGTAGCACAGAATTCAATTTCAGTGGAGTACTGAAGAACTTTGAAATGCTCTGCTGTTCCATCTGAGTACCACAGGCCTGGTCACCTGTACAGAACACACCTCCTTCTGCTCCTGGTCCTCCAGGCTGGAGTGACAGCTGGTGAGACCACCACCTGCTCAAGGGATTTGAACAATCCTGAGGTGGCCCAGGGCCAGTATGGAGAGAGGAGGAGTGAGTTTAACAGGCCTCATCCTCAGGTGTCATCCAATGCTGGTCACATTCATGCACTGAGGGCTGCAGACAGAGCCATAGCCAGCTGAACACAGTGGCCCAGGCCAGTAATTTCACCTACTTGGAAGGCTGAGACAAAATTGTCTCAAGTTCAAGGACAACCTGGGCTATAAAGCTAAACTCTATTTCAGAAAAATCTCAGAAAAGCAAAAACAAACAAAAAGAGGGGTGGTGGTATAATGTGGCTCAGGGCTACCGCACCTGCCTAGCAGGTGAGGGGCCATGGGTTCAGTTCCCAGTTCCACCTAACAGAGCACCAAGCTGCCTTTTTAACCACCCCGCTCTTAGGCTCACCCTTCAATCTATTAATCATCAACCCATTCGTGATAGAACTCTGAGGGCCCAACAAAAGGAGTCCCCACCACTTTGTAAGTCATGGTGGGGGTTTAATTTCAAAATGAGTCTTGTTGAGGACATTCAGACCACATCTGCCAGCACATCTGGGGAGATGTTGATACCTGTAAAAGAAGGGTTCTGAAGGTTGCTCTGGCTTCCAATTATAGGTCCAGGGTTTGGAGAAATTGTTTAATCTCTGACTTCTATCCCTTTACTCCACGATGGAAGTGAGACCTGGGCTGCTTGCATTACAGGGGTGAAATGTGGGGGGAATTTGAGAGTGTGGAAAAGATTTGAGGCTCCAGGACTATGGGCTGTCAGGAGTCAGGCCTGGCACCCTGAATCCCCACTCTATGCACCCAGGCCCACAGCCTGCACTGAGGAATCTACTTACACAGCCTACCCCGAAGCAGGTAGTTAAGGGAAGGCAGGAGAGGAGGGGCAGCCACAGAGGGCTTTACAGGACCAGATCACCCGAGTTACAGTGGGAAAGGTAGCCAGGAAACTCAGCTAGGACAGTGAGTCCGCAGGGCAGTGCCTCACCTCCCCCACACCTCCCCTTTCCAGGCCCCTAAAGCCCTCAGGGGTGAGCTCCTCCCCTGCTGGCCCACCTTCACCTTTACGAGAATCTTGGATCTTTCTGGACTCTTGGCTGTCCTACTCAAGAGCACATAAAGGACCTGGGAAAGACCCCTACCTGGTCACCTCAGCACAGTGCCAGTCCAATGAGCAGCACAGGTGGGGACACAGCAAATGGCTGACACAGGTGCAAGACTTTCAGGCCTCAACTCAGAGTCAATGTCCAGTTTACAAATAGGGACTCACATCACAGCTCAGCACAAGCCAGGCTTCAGGACGGTACCCCCTCTAACCAGAAGGCCAGGTCTGGACGCAACAGCACGGCCAGGCTGGTTGAGACTTTGATGACTAACAGGCTGGGTGTGGCTGAGGCAGAAGGACTGCAGTGAGATCAAGGCCAGCCTGCACTGCAGGAGACCCTGCCTCAAAAGATAAAAACCAGGCCAGGTGTGGTGGCACACTGTAATCTTAGCACTTGGGAGGCTGAGGCAGGAGAACGACCATGACTTTGATGCCATCCTGAGGTACATAGGGAGTTCAAGAGCAGCCTGAACTACATAGTGAGACCCTACCTTAAAAAATAAAAAAATAAAAAAAATTCAAAATCAAAACTAAAAAACCCCCACAAAACTGTGACAGCCCATTCCGTCCTTTCATCTTTCCTACCACTGGCCTCCCTCCAAGGTCATTTCTACACTGGTGGGGAAACATGTCGGGACACTGGGGCTGTCCGAGCCTGGTACATGGTCAGAGGTGGCGCAGTGAGGTGGTGGTGAAGGTCACCCCAGGCAGGTGCTCAGGGGTGGCACCAACAAGAGGAAAGAACCACAGCCTGAAACCCCAACAGCCACATCTTTTTAACAGTTTCTCCAATGACCATAAAATAAAAGGCAAACTCAACATGATTTGGCAAAGGTTTTTTTAAACATTAAATTAAAAAACATTCTCACATGGAAGAGATTCAACTTAGGTGCTTTGAGGAAATATTAAACAAAGTAGAAGGTTAAAAAAACAAATAAAACACCCCAAATGATAAAAATGTATCCACCATAAAAACCCAACCTAACCTGGTCATTCACGGCTATTCAGTATTCAGAGCACGAGATGACATACCAAATACAAAAATAAACAGGCAGCTGCACCGCCCCACTGTGTCAACGGCCGGCGGGGCACAGAGCCTCCCGCCCTGGGAAGCTAGCCTCAAAGCTCCTCCTTGGTCCTTCCCCACTGTGTGCTGTGCTCCTCGACGAACTTGCTCAGGTGCTCCAGGTCTCTGTCCCCACCCTCAAATTTAACTGGGTTCTTTTTGTCCCCACTGGGGGCAAAGTAGATGGTGGGGAAGCCGTCCACCTTGTAGCGGTCACTGGGGACGTCGTTGGCAGTGGCGTCCATCTTGGCGATGACCAGGCTCTTCTGGCCTTTGTACTTCTTGGCCAGGCTGGTGTAGATGGGCTCGAGCTGCTTGCAGTGCCCACACCAGGGAGCGTAGAACTCGATGAGGACATCTTTCTTGGGATCCATGACGATGGCATCAAAGGTCTTGCCCACTACCACCTTGACTGGGCCCTTGTTGTTCTTGGGCACTGGCTGGGATTTGATGACAGGCTTCAGTTTTCCTGCCAAGAAAAGCAGGGAGAGGAGGGGGTGTCAGTGCTGGAAAGCCTGGGGCCTGGTGGCTCCTCTGGGAAGTGTGACAGCTGAGGGGAACAGCGTGGCCTGCCCTCAGAGAAGGGGCTCATCCCAGCCATGGGCACTGTCATGGCTAATTCACATCTTCTACCCTTCCTGGTGCCCGCAAGCCAGAGAGGTGGGAGCTGATCAGCAGGCACCGTGACGTGCTACCAGGTTTTCTACAAACATGGAACTGATTTCCATCTCGAAGGCCTATTTTAAGGATGTGGTCATGCACGCCTATGATCTCAGCACCTGGAAGGCTGTGCAGCAGGAGAATCACAAGGTGGCATGCAGCTCCGAGTGAAGACCTATGGCTCAATCCCCGATACCAGAACAAAACAAAACACAAAACACCGCACAACAAAAAAGCTTTCTCAAGACAAGACCTGGGATTCTTTGTGTCACCCCGCCCGGCAGCATGGAGGCCCTGTAGCAGCAAGCTAGGCCCTCTGCGCTCTCCCCAACTCCACCCTGTATCTAAGCAGCATTAGCAGCTGTCCCTCCCTCTCCACACTCTGCTCTAATCCTTACTTTAACTTCTTGAGGCTGACACTAACTAAACCCTAAGCTGGACCCCAAATCTTGTTCTGCTTTCAAATGAGGCAAAGGAATTGCCAAAAGGAAAAGACAAAACCCAAGATAAGCACATGAATGTCCCAAAACTTCTCAGCTGTCTTATGTGACATTCAGGGACAGAAGTCAGAGTGACTAGAAGTGGGGCCAGGCTGCCTAATGCCCCCGGCCTGCCAAGGTGCTGGCTCCAGCAAGCAGAGCTCCCAACTTCACTCACCCTTTTTGAAAGCTGTGACGAAATCCCGGAGGGCGTCAGCATCAAACTCCTGGGGCTCCATGGCGAACTTGTGCCCGCCCTCATCCAGGATGGCCGCATTGATGTCCTCGCCGCTCTCGCTGAGCCCCAGGTCCTTCACCTCTGTGGCATAGTCCTCCTCGTCGGCAATAGCGAAAGTGTACTCAGGGAAGTCCTTTGCCACCTCTAGGACCTTGCTCCGCCAGAACTGAGTGGCTGGAAGGTACCAAGCACTGTGAGCAGAGCTTAGGCCCCAGGGTGGGGTTCAAGGGGTGCTGCTGACCTCTGCTGATGCACCAGGCCTGGACAAACTAGGGAAGAAAGCCCTGCGGATGGCACCCTGCCTAGAGTGGAGGCTGGGCTGGTCCTGCTCCACAGCCTCATCTGTGAGGGCCTGGGCTCCATCCTAAGCTGCTCTCTTGCATGAAGGGGAAGAGGAAAGGGTGGGAAATAACCCTGACACCCTAGCAACCACTGACCTTTGGCAGGACCCTAAATGCGCAACCCCAGCTGTCCCAGCCCCCTCACCAGTACGGTAGTCAAAGCTGAAGTCCACAGTATAGTAGACAACCACCAGGGGGCGCTTGGTGTAACGCTTGGCATCGTTGGAGGTCTTGCGGTGGCCCACCAAGGGCAAAGCATGCTTCACGACGTGGTCCTTGATGGCCGAAGCTGGGGTGGAACCCTGTGCCAGAGAGGGCGCAGGTGACAGTGGGCCTGATACAGAGGTAATTATGCAGTTGACGTGTCTCACAATCGCTGCTGTCACTGAAGGCAATGGAGACAGGCTGCCAACTCTCATGAGCGCCTCCCAGCTGCTCCTGGCTTCAAAGGGGTTGAAGACCCTCTAGAGTCCACTGCCAGTCACTCAGCCATCCCTGGGCACACATATCACATGGGGCCCTCCTTCACCAGAACCCCTCTGTGGACCCCAAGTCTGAGTCTTTGACAAAAGGAACCGGAGGAAGGAATTACAGCAGCCATGCAAGTTCAGAGAAGAGGAGTTCCAAGCCCATACTGAGAGCAGATGGGGCAGACTGGAGCCCAGAATGAAGGACCAGAAGATGGGGACAGAAAGAGTGCTGTGAGCTCTATGCTAGCACTCAAAACTCCCACCCCACTTTAGCCCTCACAAGTCCCCAGCCTGAACAGCAAGAGCCATGGTGCTCCAGGGCAGCTGGGCACACAGGGTCACCTGCACTGTCATCCAGCTTTGCTGCATAAGTTAGCACCACAATCCTTCCAGACTCGAGCCTATTCGCTGGAGCCCTCCCAATGCTGAGCTGGGCCAGGGGACCCATGTACCCTTCTAGAACTACATGTCACATGGATGGTCATACAAGGCAGGAGTGCCTGAGCGGATTCGATGCAAACAAAGGCCAAATACATGAACAACAGCTTCAAACAGGGACCCAAAAAGAAGCCAAGCCTGGTGCTGGCTGCCCAGAGGGACAAGAGCCAAGGACCAAAGGCCTCAGGACCTGCCAGGTATGCAGTTCCAACCCCATTCCTCCTGGAAACAGACACTGCCACAGGCTGGCTATGCTCCCGCCATTTGCTTCAAGGCAGTGGCAGTGGGGACAGGCTGTGGCCCACAAGGTCCCAAGCTGTCTACTCACCTGTACGTCCAGCACGTGGTGCTGGGCCTCGTACTTAGACTGAAACTTCTCAGGCTGCATGACAACCAGCTTCCCTGGGGACACCTTCAGGAACTTAGTAATTTCAGTGTTGAAAGTATGGTAGAATTTGTAATCTTCTCGCAGGTTGTTAGCTGGCGAGTTAACAGAGAGGTGAAATGCAGTTTGTTCAAGCAGTTATGACTGAGGTCCACCTCATTGCCCACGCAGAGAACTGGACCTACTGGGTGACTTCTACGGGAAGCACCAGAGACTATCATCAGAGGGGGTCACCACTGAACACTCAGCACAGGGCAGAGCCCTGACCCTGCGTCCTGGGGTTTGTCAGAACAAGACCGACCAAATATTCACAGAAAACTCAGCACCAGTTTGTCAGGAGCGGCCATAAACTGCTGTCCCCAGTGATGTGCAGCATATGGTTAGGAGGCTAACACACGTCACGGAGGACACCTAAGCATAGCGTGTCCCTTATCCTTATGTCAAGTTTTCGTAGCTGGTCCCCTCTTGGGGGTTTGATTCTCCTCAGCAAGCTTCCTGTTAACTCATTAAGAATGGATGACAAACAGCAAGGCACAGGGACACAGTTGTCCCGCCAGCACTAAGGAGGCTGAGTTTGTGGCCAGTCTGGGATATACACTCAGATCTGTGTCCAAACAAACATGACAAGACCACCCCACACAAAGAGATGACAAGGTCACCTACACAGTGAAGCCCAAGGAAATGGGCTGCATTTAGCTGTGCTCTTAAATTTCATCACAGCTTTAATCTGCACCAGACTACACAGTCATCACTATGCCACACAGCAGTCAGTGGCTAAGTGGCAAGCAGCACATTTAAAAGCTGCTAATGAACGCTAAAACATGACCACTGGTAGCTCACTTCTCAGAAAGTAGGACCAGCACTCTCAGGCTGCCCACCCACCACGACTTCCTGGAGAAGCAAAGACCACCCCTTAGATATCGTTCACCATGCTGGAGTCTGGATGCTAGTTACTAGGAGAGCCAGGACTGGAACCCGGGCCTGCCTCAGGCCTTTGATCTACAGAAGAGGACTTGGACAGCTCTCTTCCAATGCAGAACAATTACCCCCACACTAGTTAAGCCAGGCTGTCTCCATGTACTGACATATGCCGCTGGCTAAACCGATGGCTAAGCTATTTCCTTCTCGATTCAACTGGCTCTAAGCAATGTAAATAGGACTAGGTGAGGTAATGATGTGTTATCTTTAAGGGCAGCCGTCAGCTTTCTGTTTCCTCTCTTCCTGTCTCCCTAAAAACAGTTGAGCACAGCAGGATGGCAGAGCCACGTAACTCCAGGAATGTCAACTGGATTCAAATCTCAAGATGAGAGACTATGACCTCTCAAGGCACAAAAGACAACATTATCAGAAAGTGCGGTAACAGCCTCCTAAACATTTAAATACTACCCCAACTGAGTTACACAGATTGGTCTTTCTGCATACTACAGAGGTGCCCTTTGGCCTCCTAGCTAAGCCTAGCTCACAGACTCATGTAATTTCCACCATTCTCACCATCACTCATCCTCAAACCACTCCCTTAACAAATTCTGGGGGAGGCTCTGGGTCATGGCCTCCACCTGGACTGGAATCAGGACCCCCTGGCTACCTAACTATAAATACATCTTAGTGTGTCTATTTTTACTGTGAGTTATACTGGAGATGGTAGTTGGAATTAACTCGATGGAATTCCAATAACCTTTCAATGGAATTACAAATATAAACTTTCCAGACTGTGAGGAAGACAGGAAGAAGGATTACAACATTTGGATCATAATACTGATCCGAGGTCAGAACAGCTGGCTAAGTGGGCCCCCACTGCACCTCCTCTCAGAGGGCAGGGAAGATGGCATAGCTGGCCTTGCCCACTCACCATCCAGGACCCTGGCCTCAACTCCAGGGTACAAAAAGTTGCCTTCCACAGATACCCCAGGATACTTCCAGTGCCACCCACAGCCAGCACCTACCTGCATCCTGATACTGTTGGTAGGCAGGGTCACTGTCCCCCTGGAAGACCCCAATGATAATGACATCATCCCCATCCTTCAGGAAATCCTGGACTTGCTTCAGGCTCTGAATCTCCTTGGAGGGAGGCCCCGACTGCTCGATCATGTAGTCCACGATGCCTGGGAGCACAATGCAGGCCTGAGAAGGGGCCTGGGGCCAACCTGCCACCTACCCCGCAGGCACCACCATTCTGTATGGTGGCAGGGCAGACTGCTGCCTACCGTATTTCTCCCGGGGACCATTGTAGTCGAAAGACCTTCCCTTGCGAAAGATTTTCAAGGTGGGGTAGCCGGAGACATCGAACCTCTTAGCCAGGTCAGTCTCTGCAGTGGCGTCAACCTTGGCCAGAGGGATGGGAGGAGAGCGCTTGCTCAGTTCCTTGGCCGCCTTCTCATACTCAGGTGCCAGCTTCTTGCAGTGCCCGCACCTGCCGGGAGGAAGCCGGCTCTGTCAGGGCCTGGTCCCGAGGTGGACACGTCCCCAGTCCAGCAAACCTGGGAATGCTGTCTTGGAGACAGCAGTGGGCTGGGATCCTTGTGAGGACCAGCAGGACAGTGGGCTCACTCTGCCACACTCATCCTTGGGTGGTGTGCACATGTGCACACTCATGTACCTTTATCTGTGAAGACAGGAGCATCAAGGACTGGGGCCCAGGATAAGAGTGGGAAAGGCCAGGATAGAGAAAATGATAAGGAAGAGGATTTCCTTGGTCAGAGTGCTGGCTTCTGAGAGGCAGCAACAGCTTTCTGTTTGGCCTGACACCAAACAGCACCATAGTTATGTCCTGGGAGGCCCCACCAGAGTGGCTGCTGTCCCACCTCATTAACTTCCCCTGTGTGGGTCACACGCCCACTTCACGAGGCCAGATGACAGCAGCCACTCAGGCCCTCAAGCTTTAGGACCCTAATAGAGAAGCCAGCTTTACTTTCTCCTGCTCCTTCTGGCACTTTCTTCTCCCCCATCCCAAGAAAGGACACTCTGCTCCCTTGCGCTCCCACTGCCCTGGTGGTGCTTCTCAATCACTCCCCCTCCAGAAGACTGGGCGCCTCGAGCTCACCCCGTGCCCACTGCACTGTGCACCTGCCACCTCCACTCAGGCCTGGTGACACAGAACTCACCCATCTTACCATGGGGCATAAAACTCCACCAGGATGATGTCAGCGTCATTTACAACCTCGTCAAAGTTCTCCTTAGTCAACACCAGCGTGACTTCAGGTGGAGGTGTCCAGTCTGGCTGGGAGACTTCCCTGACCTTGGCAATGATTTCTGGAAGAAGCAAACAAGACTGAGCACATGGAGACCTGGCTGGCAGGTTCTTAAGGCTAGGGGCTGCTCCACAAGCTGGGGAGGAGGGAAGTCAAGATCACAGTACCGCAGAAAATGTGTGAGTTCCTAAACTCCAACTGTGACACTAGCCAGGTCTGGGCAGCCTTTTGTTTTGTTCTGAGGTACTGGCAATCAAATCCAGCCGTCAAACTCTGTCCCAACCCTTTTAATTTTCTGAGATAGGATGGTGCTAAGTTGCCCAGGCTAAACAGCAATTCTGCCTCAGCCTCCCACAGAGCTGGGATTGTACCCATCACGGTTAAGAGGACAAGGGCTGGAAAGGCTGCCATTTCCAATGACAACCTGTGGCATTTCCCCTGGCCAGTGGCCATCTCTAGACGGTGAAAGACCGACCTGACAGTTGCCACTCACTAGTTTTGATATTATGTCAATCAATATAACTTGGGATACCCTTTAACATGGAACAGATTACATATGTACCTAATCATAAGCACTTAACTCCAGCCTACTCCAGGCAGCAGAAAATGTGCACAAAAGTGCAGGAAAATACAAAAGAGAAGCAGTAGCTCCCACCACTCAGGTTGCAGGGGCTTCACCTGGGAAGGTTTTACAACCTGCCCATCCCAGAGAGAGCCCACAACTGAGGGAACACGAGAATGAGAATAGCATCTTAAGGAGCTCGCAGGGCTGCAGAAGTGGCTCCCTGACTGAGCGTTTGCCTTGTGTGCCTGAGGCCCGAGGTTCCATTAGCAGCAAAAGACAAAAACAAGTCTCTCTCAGATCCAAAACTCACACCAAGTGCTTCTTAGCGCAGCTGCAAAGCCCCTTCCTCAGGGCATTGTCTGAGAACTGCAAACTGAAGGGTGCACAGGGCACCTTATGCTACCCCCAGCATGGCTCCTGCTGCAAACACCTGGTGGCTGGATCCACTTTACCTGGGGAGGCCCAATTACTACACCATACATGTAGGATGGGGGAGGGGAGAGAGCAGCTTCCAAAACAGGCTGGGCCCAGGTGCCAAACAAACACCCATTTGCTTTCAAAGACATTCGCGCCTTTTGACTTGTCTTTAGGGCTAGTTCCCGATGGACTGATACAGCAAAACCATTTACTAAACACAGGGGCAGAATGTGTTTATGAAGCTAACAGCTGTGTAATTAGAAAAATTATTCACACACACACAAATTTGTTCCTTTCCTCTGTAAACAAAGTATTTCTTAAGACTACAGAGGAAACTTCCTTTCACAGTTGCCTTCCTAGAGGGGAGCTGGGTGCACTGGGGCTGGGGGAGAAAGACCATCCATCAATCTACCCTTCACATCAGGAAGTGTCACCTGGCCATCAGAAACAGAAGGGACTGTGAGATTCAGTACCAGTGAGGTGCTTGGTCTCATGGAGATGGAGAAGAGATTCAAACAGATTCGGAGATCATCCAGCTGACCTCAAGAGCCCAGCAAAAGGAAGGCATTGCCCCAGGACATGACCCTCTTCCATGGCTGTATCATAGCTCGGTGCAGTGGCACATCTGTACTTGAGTACTGAAGAAGGCTGAGGCAGGAGGGTGTCAAGTTTGATTTCTGCCTGGGCAACTTAGTAAGATTCTACCTTAAAAACTTAGCAGTGTGTGTGTCTCAGTGGTAGAGTCCTCTGGGTTAGATCCCCAGGCCAGGAAGCAAGGGAGATGCGAATCCACTCAATGTTCTTTCCCACAATTCCATGCTGCAAAAAGAATGTGCAGCTTCCTCTCTTTGCAACCCTGCCCTGTACTGGGGTTCAAACCCAGGGTCTTTACACTGAGCTTTATTTATCCCACCTCTTTCCTGCTTTTTAAAAAAGATGGTCTTTCGGGGCTGAGGATTTAGCTCAGCGGCATAAGTGCCTGCCTTGCAAGCAGGCAGTCGTGAGTTCGATCCCTGGTACCGATAAAAAAGAAAAAGACAAAAAAAAAAGAAGATGGTCTTTCTGCACAGTACAGGCTGGTACTCAAACTCATGGCGGTCTTCTAGCCTTTTCTCCCCAGTGTTGGTCTTATAGGTGTGTGCCTCCACACCTTTACAGTTTTGAGACAGGATCTTACCAAATCACTAAAATGCCTAGTTGGGCTCAAATTTGCAATCGTCCTGCCTCAATCTCCTGGAGTGTTGAATTGCACATGTGCCTTTTTCACCATTTTTAAACTCATTAAAAATTTTTCTGTTTTTTTTCTTGAGCCAGGGTTTCGCTATACAGTTCAGGCTGACCTTGAACTCACTTTGCAGCCCAAGGTGGCCTTGAACTCATGGCAATCCTCTTGCCTTAGCCTCCTGAGAGTTGGAATTACCCTAACTTGAAACTTGAGACTCTAGGTTGAGGCCCAGCAGTCCATCTGAGCCCTCCAGACACACACCAAGCACTAAGCACCCTGCTCAGGTGTACATCAGGAACTGTGCTCTGATAGCCTTTCTTACAGTCCTGACCGAGGTCCAGTGCCCGCTGGATGTCAGGACACCCTGCCCCAGTGCAACAGATGCTGTGCTTGTAGTGGGGCCATCACCTTTCTTTCCCTTCTCTCTGTCACTTAGGACCGCTCCCTGACTTTCACTCCTGGGGAGGAGGCGCTGGGCCCTGGTGCTCCCAACCTCCCAGGCACAGCTCACCTTCCTGGGTCCTGGAGCCCTCATAGTCAACAGCCTGGCCTTTCTTCAGGAGCTTGATGGTGGGATAGCCGCTCACATCAAACCTGCTGGCCAACATGGATGCCGAGGTGGCATCTATCTTAGCCACAGGAATTGGGGGGTCATTATCCTTCAGCGTGCTGGCAATTTTCTCATACTCTGGAGCAAACTGCTTGCAATGTCCGCACCTAAAAATTTGATTCAGGGAAGGAGAAACGGGTTAACTGCATCCATGGAGATTTAACGCCATCGAAACAAGCAGCTCTGGAGTTAAGCAGGCCTACATGTGAACTCCAGCTCCAGTTAGACAAAGCCTTCCAACTTTTTAACTTGTACAGACTGTTTTCCCGTCATTAGAATCTCTCAGTGCTGCAAGCAACTATTTACGTAGCGTGTATGTGAGGTCAGGGATTGGACAGGATACAGGGATGATTTCAGGCATACTGATGGCTGGGTGTGCACATCACACACAACACTACTGCCTAGAAGAACTTCAGCATCTAGTGACTCTGACATCCAGGGGGATGGAAGAGGCTGGAATGGACCCACCTTGGACACTGGACCCCAAGGAAAGGACACATAAACCTGCTAAAGCTGGGCCACAATCATTTCCAAGGGATCTGTGAGGCCATGATTCTTTACTCTCACTCTGAGTACACATGTAGGTGTCTGAGGCCACCTGGCCACTTCCAAGGACATCAGCTACTACTGCTGATCTGCAGCAGGTTGATGCATGGGCGGATGGGTCAGGGAGGAGGCAGAAGTATGGTGCTTGCCCAGAACGTGAAGCCCTGGGCATTGACATGTCACACTGCACCTAACAAAAACGCTTACTACAAATGAGTTAATAAATATTTTCAGAAACTTTTCCATTTTCATTTTTATGTAGTAAATGCTAATAAACATGACACAAAAAGCTCTTTGGGGTCTTCAGTTTAAGAGTGTTAAGAGGATCTTGTGCTGGGCATGGTGGCTCACACCTGTAATCCCAGCACTCAAAGGGTTGAGAACGGAGGATCACAGCAAGTTTGAGGCCAGCCTGGGCTACATAGTGAGTTCAAGGCCGGTCTGAACTTCACAGCAAGACCTTGTCTCAAAAAACCAAATAAATTTTAAAAAATTAAAATAAAAAAGGAGGGTCTGGGGCCCGGGGTTCAGCTCAGTGGCGTAAGTGCTTGCTTGGCAAATTCGAGGCTGTGAGTTCAATCCCCAGTACAAAAAAAAAAAGAGGATCTTAACCAAGAAAGCATAAAATCTGCTGATCAACAAAATAGGAGGGAGGGATGGGTATGTAGCTCACTGGAATAGTACTTGCTTAGCAAGCCTGAAGCCTTAAGTTCAAACCCCAGCATTGCAAGAAATTAAAAATAGTGATAAACTCGGCCAAACCAAAGCACTTCTCATCTACAAGATACAAATTAGGAATGAAGTGATAGCCTCATAGACCTATTGAAAACATTACTTGGATGTTTTTGCATCAAACCCTTGCTCTGTACTTAAAACAGGTGCCAGGCAAGTGACAAAAGCAGACCCTGACCATTCTGCGCCAGAAATAAAATGCAGAGAAAAGAGAAGAAAGCAGCAGGAGTGGGGGGATGGGGAGGGTCACCAGGGGCCATATGTGGGATGAGACAGGGAAAGAGTACATGTGTCCCCCTGGCGGGACATGTACAAAAAGACCATCCTGGGTCAACAGGTGGTACTTCGGGCAGTGAGCCCCGGCCTGCTTGGCAATGAGAGGAAACCACCTTCCAAAAGGCTGGCTCAAGGTCGCCTCGTGCCAGCTGGTGGGACGACGGATCCCAGCTCCTAGCAACCCTCACCAGGAGCTGAGCTGCTGAGCCAGACCCTCCCACTGATCAGAGGTGGTCCAGCCGTGGGGGCCGGAATGTGCATCCTCACCATGGCGCATAGAACTCTAGGAGCACTGTGTCCTTGTCAGCCACAAAGCTATCAAAGTTGGCATCAGTTAAGACTAAGACGCCGTTTTCTTCCTTCACTTCCAAGTCTTCCTCCTCCTCGTCATCATCATCCTCTTCCTCATCTTCATCCTCAATGGCGTTTTCCCTATCAGGAGAATCTGAGAGGAAAATACCAGACTAGTGAGGAAACTGGACACTCTGCCTTGGAAACTTTCTTAGCTCCCCAGTCTCAAAACACACTGTGTATTACCCCAGAAAGTGAACGCGCTGCGTTCTGCATCAGGGACTTTAGAGTCCAAGTGCCAGGAAGAGAATGGGGGGGCAGAGTGAGCCCCCACCTGCCAGGCTGTCTGCACAGGCCGGGCCACATGAAAAGCTGCCTGGCTCCGGACGGCACGAACAGGAAAGGGGGACTCGTTCCCAGCTTTCACTCTGGAGGACTGCACACACCAAGGCTGCTTCTGAAAGGCAGCATTTCACCTCACCTTCTGAAAACAGCCCTATGTTCCATCAGCTCTTTAGAGAGAAAGACTAAAGAGGAAGGTAGAGAGTCATGTTTTACTTAGGAAATCACCTCTGAGGAACATGCAAGGTAGAAGACATTCTGAGGTTAACAACTTGAGGAATTTATGGAGCCAACATGCATCAAAAATATTCAACAAATTAAAAAAAATATTCAAGTTATACCTTGGAAACAAAGATTCTCCTTTCTCAATGCCAAAAACCGAGTACATCAAGTTTTAACTGTTAGTCCTACAGTGACCGTGCAACCCCAGCTTCCTCAACTACTGTTACAGCAGTAAACAGAACTAGCACAGTGATATGGTAATTTCATTACTCAGAAGCCAGACTCTTTCCAGGGGCCAATTACTCTTCCTGGGGCTGCTTCCCAGGAGCTCAATCACAGTAACTGCTAGTTACTGTGTGGGGGCTGTGGGTGCCCTCAGGATGGGGACCCTGGGGAACTGCAGATTCTAACAATGCCAGCGCTGGCTCTGCCGTGCCACTCCCCCAGCACACATAGCTGCTCTTGGGGTTTGGGGCAGCTCTGATCAATCACCATTAAAATCTACCAAGGTGCAAACCAATTACAAAAAGCCCACCAGAGACCCACTTGTAGCTCACAGGAGTCAACTCACCCCTCTCCCCACATCCCTTACTGCACTTCCCCATCTGCTGTCTAACACAGGCCTGTGCTGCTCCTCCACTGGAGATGGGGGGGCACTAAAACGCCCACTGCCTCCAAGTACAGAACTCAACCAACCCAGCTTTTGATTCTCCTGTCCACTGGTTACAGGCCAGACAGAGGACAGCTAGGCAGCAGGCTCCCAGGATACATAGCCTGGGAGACAGCACTGCCTCAGTGGCCCACACAGCATGGGTTTTTGTACAGCACAGGGGAAGAGGGCAGGATAAAACTCCTAATTTCTCTGCCTTCACTTCAAATTTTTCTAGACCAGTGGTATTCGGAAAATCCTGCCTGGTTTCTTGAAAGAACAGTTTGAGGCCAAACACTCATCTTGCTCTGGCTCTGTTAACTAAGTCCCATGATAACTAACCCCATCCCAGGGCTGGTGGCACCTCTATCTGCCCCTTTACACTCACATCCGACCAAACCCCTCCCAGTCATGCTAGTAGCCCACAGTCAGGGCCTGATCCTCCTGAATCCCAGGAGTTGCTGCTCTTGGGTTCTAGGGTACCTACCACTGAGAGACCAGGCTCTGCCTCAGGGACTACCCCTCAGTGGAGAGCCCCCAAGTGACTGAGGGTTCCACACACAGAAGATCTACAGCTCTGCCAGGCAAGCACAGCATGTCACACACACAAATCTTTATGTTCCTAAGGAAGCCCATGGTGATAGTCTGGGGGTCAGCTATACACACCCTTGACAGCTGGGCGCAGACAGAGATTCGAATTCACTCATGTGGGAAGATGGAAGAGAAAGAAGGCCACAGAGGGAGAAGCCATTTGGACTTAATCTGCTTTCACTAGGAAAGGAAGGAGTACTTAGCTCAATCGCACAGGTGGAAGATTTACATTTACAGTGAAGAACCCCACACCCCAGCCACACGGGAGAGTCTAGTCCAGGGTGGATTTTACAAAAAAATGTGCAAAGATTTTATGGCATGAAGCAATCTGAATGCTACTAGTGGTGGAGCCCTGCTGATCAAATGGGCCAGGTCATTCCTGAGGCAACTTATTTCTTGACACTTTACAAAGATACATTTGGACAGGTGTGGTAGCAGACACCAGTGTCTCACCACTCAGGAAGGAGGCTGAGGCAGAAGGGTCATTGCAATTTTGAAGTCAGCCTTTTCTATACAGTGAAACTCTGTCTCAAAAAATAAAACTCTTAAAGAAAAGGCATAATGACCCGGAATAGGGTCTGAAACAAATCTGTTAGACAAGTCATCTGTAATAAGTTGTGGAAAGGGGGGGTCAGAGACTGTTTCCTCTGGGGTGGTAACAGTCAAGGTTTGAGCTACACACCCTGCCAGAGGAAGGGCCCCAGGAACACTACTCTTGGTCAGGTCATCCCACAGGTTCCTGGGTTCACACAAGCAGCTACTGTTTCTCAGGAACTTCGGTGAAAGTAACTGACACACAGGACAGAGGTACTGGATGACTCTGGGAGGTCACCCACCGTGTGCCTTTCTCCCAGTCTTTTCAAGGGCACTCCCCAACCAATAGACCACTGAATCAAAACCTTTTAGCTACGTTTCACAAACCAGCCAATCATCCTAGCCCTCAAACTTCCATGTGGCTCCGCTTAATTCCACCCATGGAAAAAGAGGAAAAACTTGTTCAAAATAGATTCCGGGGACCACCTGCACATCCAGTATATTTTGGGTATTCGTATTTAAATGGGCACCTGGATAATTTGGGTAAAAGCACCCACACTTTCGGGCAGGAGCGATACCAGGCTCCTTTCGGCAGGTGTCTCTCCGAATGCTTCTTATTTCCTTTTCTGCTTAGGCAAACAGGCTTTTGAATCCGTGATCCGCACAGAAGTTACTCAATGTGTTTGAGAGAGTATAAAGTCCACACTTTTCCACCACACTAATATTGAGAAAGGTGTGTTATTTATATTGGAACGCACGCAATAGGCACAAAACTAGGGGTCAGGAAGGAGGACGGACAAACAGTTCAGACTGGGACTGCCCACCCTACTGTCTAGGAAGAGCAATTTTAACTAACATGTACTAATTTTCAAAGTTACGTTTGTAGTTCAGCGATTTCGAAGAGGAAAAAATGCAACAGCGGTGAGCAGGAACTGCAGGCTGTTCCTTCCAGAATGCAAACGGAGGCAGGGCCCATCCGCCCAGCGCCTCCGCCAGCACGGAGCAGGGGCTGACAAATGCGAAGAAATGAACCGGAGATTCCATTTGTGCAAAACTGCAAGGCAAGCCTCCCTCTCCCTGCGTATTTCTTACTCCACAGATCCCGTCTTGAAGATGCCTGCTGCCTCCGGGGCGCACCCACAATGGTCCCAGCACCCTGGCCCCTGCTCTGGGACCTGCTTCGATGCAGCGTCCCGTCGGCTGCTCTACTCTCCTGGGTGTGATCGCCTCAACTTTTAACCACTTCGGCGCTGCCTTTTCCAGGGAGACTCAGGGAAGAACCAGAGAGCCCACAAGTCGCAGCGCAAGAGGCCCCGGGCTGTTGGGGTTGCCGGCGCGTCCCTTTGCGCCCCACCACAGCCCTCGTCCCGCAAGGGCCTCTGGGGCCCCACACGGTCTGCAGCCGTGGCCCGCTCACCTTCGTCCGCCCCATCGACGCTTGCCGGGGCCAGCAGCTGCGCCAACGCCAGGAGCAGCAGCAGCAGGAAGGCTTTGCGGAGCTTCATGGCGACGGCGCAGGGGGCGACCTCAGCGCACTCCCGAAGCGCCAGAGCAGCGCGAACGCAGCTAGCCCTTCCAGGAAGTCCCGCCTGGCGATTGGCTGGGGGGGAGGGAAGGAAGCCGCGGGCCGGCCTATCCACGCGCGACGCCGGACGCTTGAGCCGCCGCCGCCTCTCGCTCTCGCGCAAACCCACCCTGCCGCCAAGGCCCTGCGCGCGCCCCTAGGCAGGGCGTTTAAAACTCCGAGCCCTAACGTGAGGTGCCCCCTTCTGATTGGCTGCGCCGCAACCACCAATCAGCGGGTGCCACTCGGTTTGCGCCAGGCGCACAGGCCGAGAGAGGGAGCTGGGAAGAACAAAGGCGGGAGGCTGGCCCCCTTGGGGCGGGACCTGGTCCAGCTCGAGTTGCGATTGGTGGATCCGGGGAGGGGCGGGCTTCTGGGAAGGCGGGGTTGTGAGCTCTGTTTAACCCCGCCGCGGAGCCTGGCAGGAAGAACACGTGTCCTTAGTGGGTGTAAACGCAGCGCACTAGAGTTGCGGGAGGCTGTAAGGAGCACGAGGCAGTATTTAATTTTTGCAGGCTTCTTGATTTTGTTTTGTGGCTTTAGCATTTAAAAGCTTACATCTCCAGCCGGCCAGGTGGAGGCTGTATTGGTGGGCTGGGGTGGGGGTTGGAACTGGCTGAGTGTTGCTGTAAAGTAAATCAAGAACTGGGGTTGCACAATTTTGTCTGTGTCGTCAGATTCTTGTCTAAACCTTGCCTCGTTATTTATTCTTTCTGTGATTTTCTGCAAGCGAGAGAAATACTAGATAGGTACTCTAGTAGTTTATGTAGTTTTAAACACAATTCTGAGGCTTTTCTTCTTGACAGTTTTGGAGAGGAAAACGAGGTTTTAAGTTAGAAAAGAAGCCTGTGGCATTAGGGCTTGAGACTTCAAACACCTGGAGATCAGTATGTTTCCCAAGTTACTGAAAACAAATAGGGCAATAAATAAACAGAACTTAAGAGTTCAGTTATGTTTTCTCACACCTGCAGATTGAGAAAAAAGAAAGCAGACGACTCACATTAGCAATTAAGAAACTAATACATTTTCATTGAAATCTTATAACTCAACAATTATCTTGGAAGGCGGCAAGATCATTATGCAAGTATCCTTAACTCCAGAGTTCACACGAATTGATTTGTTGGTGTTCCATTAATATAGGCCATCAAATAGTTCAATGTCATTTTAAATAACTCTTCAACAAGACTTGAGTCCAGCTGGAATTTTTATCTTTCTTGGTAGTTCCCTATGCATCTGTAGTAAACAAGAATGAAAGCCCTGTTTTCCCAGATGTGGGACAAATACAAGCAATTTCACAAAAGCCCTTTGTTGATACAGGTAAGAAAGGACACTTGTCAAAGTACAATATAGGGGCTGGGGAGATGCCAGGTTGTGTGTTTGATCCCTGGTACAAAAAAAAAAGTAATGTATCTGTACACATATACACTTGTGAAATTAATGTTTTACATGTAGTTTAGAGGGTGGTGATTGAAATTCATTCATCAGCCAAACATGACCGTATCACAATGGGAAGCATGCTGTTCTTCCTGTCTCAATCTCATCAAATCTGGTTTTGGGAAAGCAAGGCCAGAAGCCTGCTGGGACCAGAGGGAGAAAGCACTTCCGGGATTTTCTCCAAAATCTCCATAATTGCTTGTAACTTAAAAAGGTTGATGTTAAGCCACCCCAGCACTTGGATCCCAGTTTGGCGATTCATTCATATAAAAGAACTTTGCCCTGTCTTGTCCCCCAGGGTGGTCATTTAGCACTATTAGGCCAGGCTTATAGGTCTATTTGAACTTGTGTTTTCCTCTACTCCAGCACCATGATCCCTAGAGAGGAAGCCTATGGGGAATTAGTCCTCTCCATCTCACTCATCTCCAGGAAGATCTGTAACAACCCTGGCACTCATATGTGTCATCACAAGCTAAGTTTACATGGTTGGAAAAGTAAATGAAGACCAGTGAGCTGCATAGGCTGCATGCTCTGCATGTCTGAGTGTTTTGCTCAGTCCTATCTAGGAATTAAACTACATGAATGAGCTGGGCATGGTGATACATGCCTGTAATCTCAGCACTGGGGACACTGAGACAGGAGGATCATCATAGGACACCCTGGACTATATAGTGAGTTCAAGGCCAGCCTAAACTACACAATGAGACCCTGTCTCAAAAACCAAACAACACTAACAACAACAAAAGAGGATAAAACAGTTACTAGTATGTGCTGGAGAACTCAGAAATACTCCTACCTCATGCTGATTGATACACACACCCCTTTCAGAAGAAAGAAGAAAAGAATTTATTTCTGAATGGTGATTCCAGTCTGTACTCCCAGCTACTTGGGAGGCTTAGACAGGAGGATCATTTGAGTCTAGGAGTTGGAGGTCAGCCTGGGCAAAATACAGAATTGCAGGCAAAAACAACTAAAAAATACCGGAGATAACAATTTACATATAGTTTTTTTTTTTGGGGGGGGGTCAGCCTCTCAAGTACTGGGACTATAGACATGTGCCACCAACCTGGTTTACATGTAGTTTTATAGTTTATATTTTTAACTTAGTATCACATCATAATCACTTATTTTCCCATTCTATTACTTTATCTTTTGAGGGAATTTAGCTCTTTGCCCTAAAAGGCCCACCTTACATACAGAGCAAAATGAGGACCAGGTCTGTGCTTACAACTCTAGCTGGTCAGCAGCTGCCTGAGGATGCCTACTCCATTCTTTAACTCCCTCCTGTGCCAAGTAAAGATACTATACCCAAATTCTATCATCATATTTTAGAATCAATTAAGTGAACATGTGCACACTAAGCACAGGGGATATGTAGTTGTGTTAAACACCTGCCTTAGGTGTGCTCCGTGTTTATACTGTGTGATAAACATACGTGTGTCATCTCCAATTTTCTTGGAGATATTGTAAAATTACTCATGTGTTTTTAAGTGTGATAGTTAATCTTAACCATCAACTTGACTGGGTTGAGAAACAGCTAGAAACTTAGTAAAACATTGTCATGAGGTTCTAGAATGGCAGCAATGTAGAAAAGCTTTTTCTCACAATCAGGGAAACAAAGCTCTGCGATCCAGGCAACTGACCCCTACAGCCAAGAGAGAGAAAAACCTGGCTACTGCTTCAGCTGGCAGCAGACCTTGGTGGCATCCACAAGGTGCTGATTTTAGGTGCAAGGAAAATGCACAAATTCTGAGGGTAAGATGGCTTCCACCTTGATTGCAAAGGGCCTGGCTGGCCAAGCAGTGTGCCCCTGAGAGGGCAATTTGTGAAGATGTAAGGGTGAAGCTGAAGGTGCAATGGAGACCCCAGAAGTTTGGAAAAGCCAGGAACATGGGTGATCCAAGGAAAGCTGCAAAAAATGAGTAGAGAGGGTTTAAGAGAAAAGCTGTGGGAGCTGAAATCGCTGGAAGTGCCGTGGGGGTGGAATCACCCAAGCCTTTTGGAGCTTGCAACCAGATTGCTTCAGATGCTGAGCATGGAACTCTAGGACTTAATGTTTGTCCTGCTGGATGTTGGACTTGCTTAGTTTCCAATACTTTATATTCCCCTGTTTGTAACTTTTGGAATGGTAATGTTTATCTTGTGCCTTTGCATTTCAGAAATGTTTAACCTTGTTTCATTTGTACAGGGAGTTACAGTTAAAAGTTTGCCATAGATCTTGGAGGAGACTTGGGACTTGGACTGTTAAGCAATGCTAAAACTTAGGACTCTGGCAACTTTTGGAGGTGGACTAAATGTCTTTTGTATAAAGGATGTACATGAGTCCTGGGGGCCAGGGGTGGGATGTCATGGTTTATGTCTGTGTCCCCCAGGCCTCATGAGTTTGCTTCGTGCGTTTGTGATTGGTTCATTGTCTAGTGCTTACATTGGTGGTGTCAGTGCTACACCCACGTAGGGGTGGAGCCAGGATGTGATGTAATGGCAGGAAGAAAGTGTGTCTTGCTCTTTGCTGGTTCTCATTTGCTGTTTACAGCTGCCATGAAATGTGGCCTGCCATGCTACCCTGCCTCGGAGCCAACTGAGTATGGACTGAAACCTCCAAAAACTGTAAGAAATAAACCTTTCCTTTCCCAACTTGGGCTTCAGGTATTTTGTCTCAGCAATGAGTAAAAAGTAACTAAGACAAATATCCTCTGGGTATGTCTGTAAGGTGCTTTCAGAGATTATCAGCATGTAGCACAGCAAACTAATGTCCCTGACCTAAATACGGGTGACATCATGATCAGCATGTAGCACAGCAAACTGATGTCCCTGACCTAAATACAGGTCTCCAGTAGAGACCCAGACAGAACAAAAGCAAAAGAAATAGAAAGCTGCCAGCACAGGGTCTCTGTTACCGTTATCTTTGCTTCCTGGCTGCCATGAGTGAGCAGCTACTCTCCGCCACCTCTTCTGCCATGAGGTCTTTGCCTTGCCAACTTGCTAATGGAATGGAGCTGGCTGACCCGAGGCAGAAACCTCTGAAACCATAAACCAAAACAAACCTTTCCTCTTTTAAGCTGTTTTTCTCAGGAATTTTGTCACTGTGACAGAAAGCTAACACATTATTAGAAAGTCATATTGGCAGAGATTTCTGCATTTGGTCTTGTTTTGTTCCAGTAAAATGAAATTTAACCTGAAAATTGACAACGGGCTGCAAAAAGACATGACCACAATCAGAAAGAAATGACAGATTGCCAAAGATTCTTTTCAAAACTCTACACCAGAAAATCAAAACATCTCTTTCTGTAGAAATTAGCTTCTTAATAGTCTGAAAAAATGTAGGACAGAAGCTTGATTAGGCAGACAAAACTGGGAGACAACGGTGTAAATAATAACCAATTCTAGTTAGATCAGGGAAGGCTCACTATATTGCGAAGAAGGGAAGGAAGAGGAACCAGGCACTGGAACTCCCCAGGCTTCCCTCTCAATCCCTCGTAACATGGCCCGGGGAAAGGGACGCCAGGCTCTGAAACTCACTTTACTCTTCACAGAATGGACTGAGACTTCAAGGGTTCTCTTCAATCCCCCTATCCTCTAGCCTCTCTCCAAATGCAGAGTTGCAATCTTCATACTTTCCTAAAGATCAATCACTGAAATGATTGCTATCACTGCAATTTAGTAAAGTGCTTTCTTGTTTCCCCTCTGGGAATCCTTCCCCTTTCTAGCCCAGTTTTCT